TAGCGGTGTGTTGCTCTTGCATTTGGACAACAATTTCTACTGTTAGCCTATCACACATCTTCTAAAATCCGCAAAATAGGGAAGTGGGCTGTCTGTTTACTTCAATTACATTTACACATTTTGTGTAGCTTTAAAGAGCCTATTTAGCCTGATGGTGGACCATCACTCAGAAGACACACTATCCTATCTTTATATCCTCCTGAGGCCCAGAACGGTTTTTTTTTTCTTCTTCATGTAATCACATTGTTAAGAGCATAAGAAACAAATGGAAAAAATAAAATATATTTTATTCATATATTTGAAAATCGATTTAATAATTATTATTTGTTTAAATTACATTGATATCTGAATTTATGTAAAAACCTAGACTTTCAAACATCAAAATGTAATTTATTAATATGTATTCGAGTACAAAATGACATACAGCTAGTCTAAACATGTAGTTTCCTATTTTTTATTTATTTTTTTTTGCCTGGAAACGCAAAGAAATTCCAGGCAAAAAACACGCTTGCCTGTCGCGTGAAAAATAGGCGTCAGTTCTATTTCTAGCATGCACGCGTTTTCTGGAGACGCGCGTGTCACGCAGGCAGCGTGCAAGCTCTAATCTGTTAACATGGGAGCCGAAATAAAAACGTACACGCCACGCAGCCAGTGTGTCTCCGGCCAGTGCGCGCGGCACCGCATCCGAGGATAAACGACTTCAAGCCGAATTTGTCCGAGCTCGTACGTCTCACACAAAAATACGGGATATTTTACGGGAAAATACTCAAACGGGAAGACAGCGGGAAAAAAACTAAAATACGTGAGAAACCCGGAAAAAACGGGAGGGTTGACAGCTATGTGCAGCTCGCAGAGATCATTTTCAAAACAAGGAGCTTTCGGTTGGTCAGCATGAGCATTAGCATGTAGGCTATTCTGGCGAAGGTCTCGACCTCACCGGAAACTCACTCGTTCGCGCGAGTTCGTGCTCGTTAAATTTCGCTGAGCAACAACAGAGAATGTCTGGCAACAATAAATGAGACGGTATGACCTAGCTGGTATGATTTATCATTTAGTGAATAATCAATGCGTATTAAAAGTGTTTTTGTTGTTGTTATTTTTTTACTTGTATCCACCCACAACCTAAACACAAGCACATTAAACTCATCACAAAAATACAAAATAATGTCTTTAAAGTCTAAACCTGAGACATATCTCAACATTCTCTCCATACTCAGCTAGCCTATATAAAGCATGAACATCAACATGTCTGAAATGCAGGTGCATGACCAAAATGTTATAAAACAGTAGCCTAACGTTTGTTGTTGCACCCGTGAAACATTTCTGAATCTGGTGGCGAGGCTTAATTTTGACAAGCACACAATCAAATCCCATGCAAAGCAAGCTGGGATCTAGCCTATATAACTAAAAAAAAATAAATAAAAAAAAAAAATTAGGTTAACTTATATTTTTCAAATGCGTGTTTCAAAAGTTATAGAACTGTTGCTTTCATTTAATAAAGACATTTTTTTCCTCACATGGATCATTTCATAAACATTTCCACTAGAGGGCATCACAGGTTTAAGAAACCGCAGTAAAGTCTTACAAGTCATAAAACAAATGTGCAGACGAGAAATATCTCAGGTATGTTTTCAGTTCTCCTGTTGTTAAATGTGATTTAAAATCAACTGAAGCGAGCGATTTAGTGTGTTTTCACTTTCAAATGCATTTCATATTCTGGCTGTCATTCCACTGAGTGTAACATTACATGACGCCCTAATTTTTGTTTTTCGTCTGTTCCTCAGTGTTTTAAACTGCAGATTACTGTTTCCATTCGTCTATTGCTCTTATTGTGGCATTTTAATTTTATTTTTATCAAATAAACAGCGTAAAAACTCTAGCACCTGTTCAAATGACAAATGATATTCTTACGCTTGACAAAGCAGCTGAAAACTTGATCAGTGCATTGCAGGCTCAAATGGTTGATGACAAAGCAGGTCATTAACCCCAGATCACAAAACCGGATCAGGTTTGACGAGTTCCCGCCTCTTTGCAGCTGATGTTACGAAAGGAACTCTCAGAATGTTAACTCACGTCAGCAAGACTGTTGACAAGAAAAACATGGATCTGAATGTGTGCGTCAGAGACGATGAACTCTTGACTTTAAACGTTTCCCGGACTTTAATGTAAAATCATAGCTTTGCTCATTTTTATATATTTTACAACTCCTCCAAAATGAACAAGAAACCCCCATAAGTAGGCGAGTTATGAATTGAATGTGTTAATATTTATGAATAACTTGTTCTTTTACAAGAATAAAAAGTTTTATTTGTGCTTTTCAGCTGTTATCTCGGAGTCGAGACGCTAGTCCCGAGGAAAATGGCGTCCGTCAGTTTCAGCCTCTCACTCAACGCCTGTGAAGAGACGACACAACGTTGGCGATATGTTATGCCCTAAATTATTACATGATTTACTAAATGTATTTTTCCATGTACATTTCTGAAACGTACTTTGCTGCTTTGAAATAATATGTATTGTGAAAAGCGCTATACAAATAAATTTTAATTGAATTTTTATTTGAAAAGAGAGAACGGCAAAGAAATACACCAACGATTAGATTTGAGCCACTAGAAATCAAATAATCAGAATATAGAATTATTGAATATTCTATTCAATTCTTTAGGAGGAAAATAGGCCTACTGTAAACTACATTTAAAGTTGACATAATATAAAAGGTGAAAGTGAAGGCGGAAAATTATAATTATAATCTTAATTCTATGCCAAAATAAATTGCTACATCCACATTAATCAGGATAAATTTGAAAATGCATCTTTTGAGGAAAATTGAGGCATATCTGTGTTTTGGCCCACACTGAAACAATGTTTTTGTCCAGCAAAAACTGAGCTTCAAAAAAACATTCTGAAAATGGCATTTCTGAGTTTAAGTATGGCCTTTGAAAATGTAGGCATTTGAAAACTATAACATATATTTAGTCGTGACCAGGGACGTGCACAGGAATTTTGAGGGGCAGTTGCTCTGACCTGAAAAAAGGGCACCCCCCCCCTCCTCCTCCTCCCTCCTCACGGGCTATATGAAGGAATATATTCAGTTGAATTTGTCACCTTCCAAATTGCCTTATCTGGCCGTGTTTATGTCCAAACGCAATGCCTCATCTTATGGTCTTATTATTATTTATAAAGATTGCAAAATGTCAGAGATGAGACAAATGAGCAAAAGAGTTCCTCATATTGTTGTTTATTGTTTTTTATTATTATTATTATTTATTTATTTATTTATTTGAAAAGAAATAATCTGGATTGAATGGAAAAACTCGAAAAAATAAAAAACGCTTAGATTTCGGGAAAAAATACAATCCTTTTTTGGCAATCCTGACCTCCCCCTGGGGCCCTAAGCAAAATTCTGCTATGGGGCCCTCTACCTGATCTGTGATGCCGTGAGCCATGTAAACCATTTGCCATTGCCACTCAATACCGCCCAATACAATCCTCCCTCCTTTAAACAAAACAGTCAAAGAACAAGTACAACAATATAGAACAGAATGAGGTTCAAACAAACAATATTTACTGAATAAAGCATTTTTATAGAATGTTAAGATAACAAGTGAATATTAACGTAAACATAAATAAGAAGAAAATAATAAAGTACAACCCTGAACTTTGGCTTTTGGGATTAATTTTGATTCACTCTACAGCCTTTTTATTTTTTTTTTTATTTTTTTATGCATGTTAAAGCAAATCTTGATTTATTGTTATTTACTGAGGGATTTGCATTCATATTGACCAGAATGTCCAGCTAATCATCATTTTAAATTCAATATAGCCTATAAATCAATAGTCAATCAATGTCAAATTGCCAATACATTGGTTTCTATCTTGCATAATTAGTGCAGTTGTTTAGAGTTTTTAACTACACTGAGACTAGATAATCAGTGTCTTTATAATGTGTACTTTGATTGGGAGTGCCATCATTCACGTATTGTACAGTATTTCTGGTCTCCACATTTCTGCTTGAAAAATGCGAGTTTCATTTCGTGCACGCGCATATGAACGCAACACACGCGACGCGGTTATGTTTTCCGAGCTGTAGTAAACAAACACTGTTGTTGCACTTTGTCGTTTATAAAAAACAAAACGTAATAAATAATGGTATTTTACTCTCACTTTTGTCAGGCAAAAAGTGATGCAAGAGATGCACTGCCTGCCCAGATCAAGACCAAAAACCATCAAACTTTGCTGACATCAAACTAGAGAGGAGAGAACACAAGTTTACCTGACTGCTGTTCCCACAATTCACTCTCATGTTTTTCTTCTTCCTCTTTTCGTGACGAGAAGGATAGTTTCGCTTCATTTTGTCATGGACTTCGTACACATTAATTAGCGCGCGACACGAGATGGAGGCGCGGCCTGAGTAATTTGCGGTGCCTTGCCATACACACCGGTCGCATGCAGTCTATGGTCGCGTGCAGCACTGCAGCCACGTAAACAGTTTGACTTTCCCTTTCAGTGCCCGAATGGAAGTGAATGAGGCTTTGCGATTTTTATATTATTTTTTTGTCTAGGCCTACGTGAAATTCTACATCCATTGTACGATTTTTTTTCCTCGGAAGGGCAACCTGAGTCGAGAAGGGCATATGGGCAGTTGCCCGGGCAACCTGAGCAACCCCCCTGTGCACGTCCCTGGTCGTGACACACAAAGAGATAACACTATGAAAGCAGGTAACAAGATAAGATAAATGTTAAGCTGTACAGTCTTCATTTAGCATTCCTGTGTTTTCATGTCTCCGAGTGGACGATCAACTTTTGAATGGATGGACAGCGTTTTGAAACAAAATCTCAGTTTTCAAATTTATCCAGATTCATGCGGACGTAGCCTTACCAAAACCACTCAGAAGAAAGTGCATATATTAAACTGTGTTAATTACTTAAGCAGGTTAAGGAAGCAAATCGACCACCAAGTCGAAACCAAAAGCATCACAAATTATGTCCATGTCATGTGAGACATTTTCAGCATTCTTCCTTTCAATGCTTTTAACGGTGCAAAAACAACTGTCCAATGGTCCAGAATAAATTGTGAAATAAGTTCCCAGCGAAAGGCCATTAGCACCATCTATTAGTCCCGCAGTAATCCCAGTTTCTTCAAGGCTTCCCGCCGGTTCTCGCCATTTTGACCGTGCGGAGAGATCATCACGCTTATTCCATTGGAGCGGGGCAACTTTTGGGCATCGTTGCCTGGCTGAACCGCAGCAGCGTGGAGAGATTTGGTTGAATCATCAGCCTGATGGCCAATACCAAAGTCCTTTGCACTCCCTACAGAAGGAGTTCGAGGTTGAGTTTTTCGTAACTGAGCTGGCGACGACCCAACATGCGGCCTTTCAGGGTTTGTCATCTGTGGCGCCGGTTCAATGAGCATTCCAGGTCCTGTGCGCTCCAGGGTTGCCGATTTGATCTCGTAGGACCTTACTGATTGCTTCAAAGAACCTTCCCTGGTTTTAGCTTCTTGGTGCTTTAGAGTATCTAAACGTAGTTGCATGTCCCCTGGTACGGGACTTTCAGATAGTCTAGATACAGAAGGAGTTCGAGCAGGAGTCTTTCGTAACTGACCTGGTGATAACTCAACATGGCTCCTGTCTGGGTTTGTCATCTGTGGCGCAGGTTCAATGACCATTCCAGGTCCTGTGCGCTCCAGGGTTGCCGATTTGATCTCGTAGGACCTTACTGGTTGCTTCAAAGAACCTTCCCTGGTTTTAGCTTCCTGGTGCTTTAGAGTATGTAAAGGTAGTTGCATGTCCCCTGGTACGGGATTTTCAGATAGTCTAGATAATTCTTGCACGGGTTCAACAGGTGCTGGAGACTGTTGACGAGCTTTAGCTCTGAACTTTGGCGATTGGCAGGGAGAGACGCTTGGACCTGTTACCTCTTCGTTCTTCACCAGGCCCAACTTTTTCAAAGCCTCCATTCGGATCTTCTGAGGATCCATCTGAGTGCGCTCACTCTGCGAAATCAACGAATGCGTGCTCCCGCTGTCTTTGTGGCTTTTGAAGGTGATATTTGATGGGAGTTTCTTGGGTTTGGGCGCCACAGCTGGTGGGCTTTTGGGGTCGCCATACTCTTTTGGCGCAGGAACATGTTCTGAAGATGGTGAAGGTGTCATCGGTTTGTCTGCCACAGTATGTTGCGCTATCGTTATCGGTGTCAAGTGAGATGCTTTCTTCACGGAGGCCTTCTTGTGCAGGTTTTCAATCTCATTGTGGGATAATGGCCCTTTTGACGTTTCTGGGTCTTCACTCCTTGATTTGGTCACTTCAGTTGGTTTGATGGATCCACCAGAAACATGCGGCTCCATTTTGGGGAGTTCGGGAATCCATTCTGGTGGTCCATCGTAAGCAGGAGGAGGTGGTGGTGAATAAGTGCGGCTTAAATCCGGTTCATCCATGAAGTCTGAGGGTGGAGGAATGAATTCCAGCGGCACCTCTGAGGAAACTTTCTGCTGCTTCGGCTGAGACTTCACATCCAAACTCTTATGAATGCCATCTTTGGCTTTAGAGTCACTAGGCAAACTTGTTCTAACTGGAGGTTCAGGTATGAAAGAAGGTGGCCTGTCCTCTACATCCCTTGATGGTCCAATTCTTCGTCTAGCAGTTGCTACTTCCAAAGCAGCTTTTACGGAAACTGTCCGTCCAGGTTCTTGATGGTTAGGGCTTGATCTGAACCCCTCAGGCACATCAATGCATGCCACTGGTACTTCTATGTGAGATGACTCCATTGGTTTGCTGATTATCTTTGCATTCCCACTGGCAAGGAGCAATGGAGTTGGCACAAGGTACTTCGGAGAAGGTTTATGATCTCTTCCGATCACTTTGTTTGGATCCTCATGGGCTGATAGCACTGAAAGCGAACATTTACTGTATGAGCCATTGTTAAAACAGACCACTTCGTATGTGTGGATATAAACTCTTGATATTTCTAGTGGCAATGCTTACCCTCAGTATTGTTCTGGTAGATGGGTATGTGATGAGCAGTTTTTCCTTCCAAACCATTAGACAGGCCATCAGGCTCGTCGTTAGACAATCCGCTGTCTTGCTCTACATCCAGAGACTCAATGGTCTCCTCAAGAAACATGAGACATGCTCTTTCCTCAACAGAAAGGTACTCCAGACTGTCATCACTCTATCACACAAAGAAAAGTGTGCTTTTTAAAAGAAATTAATACTTTTATTCAGCAAATATTAATTATTTTTTGTAAATGAATGAATGCTGTGTTGAGAAAAAAAACTCAACTTTTTAACTGCCAACATTAACAAGGATCAGAGAGACAAATCAAAAGGGTTCACCCAAAGAATTACAATTTTACTCGCCCTTGTATCATACTCAATCCGTCATATGGAGTACTTTTATGGTGTTTTTGTCTTTTTCGGAGCATAACAAGTGTGAACTAGCCTGGATGCCAGCCCGAACTCCGCCCACAACATTTTTTGGTCGGGAAGTTCGGTCTGGACTCGATCCATTAAGGAGTAATTATAATCAGACAAGAAATGATCGGGCCAATCAAATTGCCAGGGTGGGCTTTATACGATGATGGACAGATGATCTGCAAGGACGTAATCATCACGTTATCAAAGAGCGCTTAACTAATTTCCCTCAGAGATGACTGCAGCTGGAGAATTGAGATGTATAGATTCCACTGTCGCGTCTGTTGTAAAATAAATCGACAGTGCATTAATTTTAATAGACGAACAGAGAACTGCAATCAAGGCATTTGTCGATCGGAAAGATATTTTTGGCGTCCTTCCAACATGATTCGGGAAAAGTGTAACTTATCAGCTGGCTCTGACGGTCGCTAAGAAGATGGGACGTAATGAAAAGCCTGTGGTCGTTGTGGTTTCTCCTTTGGTCGCACTCATGGAGAAGTAAAAGAAGCAACAATCGTTTATTTAACTTCTAAAATAAGTACGTTCTGTAGTTGAAAACTGCGCTATGCAAAGGAGTTGACTTACTGCGTTGCTCTGATTGGTTGTAGGTTTACCGACTATCCAATTGAGTGCAGAGGTTTTTTTTTCCTGGCTCGGTTAAGACGCGCCTCATAATCAAAGCCCAACGGAGCGGTATGACGAAGTCAGGCTAGGTGTGAACACTATTGTATGGAAAAGATCTATGCAAAAATTTCATGGATAAAATAACTGCAAAAGCAGGTTTGGAATTAGTTGATGGTGAGTCAGTGAGTAGAAACTGGGATAGGCTTCAGTTTTGTAAGGATCAATGAATGAATGAGTCAGTGGGTGTTATATTTTGGGTGAACTGTCACTTTAAGATATTGTAGAAAATTAAAAAATGTCTTGATACTCACAAATCCAGAGTTGATGCTGAGCACACTATCACAGCTTTCTGCACTGTCCATACCAGACACAGATTCAACGGCAACGCCCCCTGGCCAGGTGTCACTTTTTGGCATCGCACAAAAAGTGCGAGTCAGGTAGTGACACGGGTCTTCAAGGAGCTTTGTTTAATGATGGCAAATAGAGGCCCAATCTATTAAAATATAAACAAATACATAATTAGATAACTTATAAGGAGGTAATACTTACAATGCAAACACTACTAAAAATACACAACCATTATAGGATATGATGTCATGGTATTTTGGACACTACTATGGAATATTACATAAATACCATTGTATAGGACTATGAAAATCACACAGGATGTAAAAAATGATTTTTTCATTTGACAAATTTAGATTATTGGAGTATGTTTTACAAGAAAACACAAGAATTGAATAATTCTCAATTTTGAATAATTGAGCCAAAAAAGACCAAAATTGAATAATTCCCATCTAGGATGCTGAAAACAGTACACCAACAGAGTAGTATACTAGAAAAACACTAAGCGATAAGTACCCGCATTCGATGGACACTTTATTATCCAATGAGGCCACGGGAGAGGATTTGTGAATGCGGCGAAGCGATGGTAGAGATGGTATATTCCCCATCTCATAACATCACTTTACCGCCAAAGCATTTTTCTGTTGGGGAATGTCCAATGTATTGGGATCATCTTGATAAAAAAGAGGGATTGACTGAAACGTCACACTGTACAGATATGAATAGTGATATACACTGTTAAAATTAAGCAGTCAAGAGTTTAGCACAGACTCAAGCTCACAAACACTTAACATAGTCTGGGTCGAATTTGATTTCATCTTGCATAGTTTTACTCATGGTTTTTGGGGATGAGAGCATGTCATATGTAATGGAGGTTAACCTCACTCCCCTAGCCTCGAGATGTTAGCGAGTATACACCGTAAAAAAACCCCTGAAATTTACGGTAAAATACCGGAAGCTGTAGTTGCCATTATTTTACGGTAAAAAAATATATGGTTGTAACCTTTTATCCGTTTTAAATTTACGGGCAAAAAACAATGTAAACAAAACATATGAAATTTACGGTAAGAAAACGTCAGCTTGGATGCCAGTATTTTACCATTCAAATTATAAAATTAGTGACTGATTAAGCTTCCTTGTTAGCGCTAGCCTCCCATGCCGGAATGATGTTTGCATCTGTATAATTTGACTAAATTATACTGAATGGAAGATACATTTATGCTAAAATACTATAGTTTACCTGGAGGACACACAGCTTTTGACATCCGGTGTTGGGAAGCCTATTTCTAACTATGCACAAGTTGCATTTGTGTGTTTACATTTAGCATTGTTTATCCCTGCTGTCCACAGTTTTGTTACACAGACCTGGCAACCCTGCTGACAATGATTTGCACATTTTGCATGATTTGCACAGGCTGGGAATCGATTCGTTTATCAATGAATCTCTAAGCACAGATGGCTAAGACGTTCACTAAATACCTGGAGGTAAACACCCAAGCACTACATGCATGAATATAAGCATGTTTGACACACCTGTTCAGAAGCAAACCACACTGAATGAAACCCACGCCCTGAGAACACAATGTGCCCATATTGTTAAAAAAAGTATTACTTAAAGGGATAGTTCAACCAAAAATGAAAATTAGCCCATGATTTACTCACCCTCAAGCCTTCCTAGGTGTAAATAACATTCTTCGTTCAGACGAATACAAAGTTATATTTAAAAAAATGTCCCGGCTCTTCCTATCTTTGTAATGGCAGTGAATGCCTGTTACTGTTTTGAAGTCTATAAAAGTGCTTTAAACTTTCTTTCTTTCTAACTCCTTGCAAAGGTCACTTAGACTCCATAAGCTGCCATTACTATTTCAAATCCACCGAGACGCATTTAATTCTATCTAATATTTCTAAACTGAAAAACTTTTGAAACTACTAAACTAAAGCTTATAATAGTTAACACTAAAAACTTCTTCAAACTTTCTGACTAGGCTTTATCATTGCCAACTTAAAATTTGTCTACAAAGTTTTTTATCTGTAATTCTCAAACGGCTCTGGGAGGTTAATAAAGGCCTTCTGAAGTGAAGCGATGAGTTTGTGTAAGAAAAATATTCATTTTTAATTTTAATATTCCGGCCAAACGGCCATATGTAGTCTACTTACGCCTAAAGCTCAACTTACGAAACTTGTGTAATGGCGTAGTGTAAATATCAGCAGTACGTCACATTACTCACATCACATTCAGTCAAATCCATGTGTTCGTTTGGCCGGAAGCTAATTATTTTACTTTATAGAGTTTGAAATATTGATATTTTTCTTATACGAAAGCATCGCTTCACAGTTCACATCGGAAGGCCTTTATTATTTATTTTATATATATTGTATTATATATTAGGCCTATATTATTTTTTCACTGAGTTAATCACAGTGCATTCTGGGACTGATTTTTCCAAAAGAAAACGTGCAGATTTTTTTTTTTTTTTTAAAAGCATTACGTTGTGCAATAATGTTTACAAAGACCAACAATTAAAATACACTGTCGTTCCAAAGTTTGGGGTTGGTAAGATTTTTAAATGTTTTCGCAAACTCACTAAAGCTGCATTTGATCAAAGCTACAGTAAAACCTGTAATATTGCGATAAGCTATATGATAATATGTCATTTATTCCTGTGATCAAAGCTGAATTTTCAGCATCATTACGCCAGTTTTCGCAGTCACATGATCTTCCGAAATCACTCTAATATGATGATTTGCTGCTCAAGAAATGATTATTGTTATTTTTTGCAGCTCAATATATTTGTGGAAACCGTGATGAATTGTATTTCAAGATTCTCTGATGAATAGAAAGTTCAAAAGAACTTTATTTGAAACAGAAATCTTTATCAAATGTCATTAATGTCACTTTCGATCAGTTGAATGCATCCTTGCCGATTAAAAGTATTAATATCTTACTGACCCCAAACTTTTGAACAGTAGTGTATATCATGTCATGTAAATGAGTTCTGCTGTATGTGAATGGCTCACTAGGTTTTGAAACAGACCCCACATTTCATTTTTCTAAAACGTTCCTTAAAAAATGAACTTGCCGAGAAACTCTAGAGCAAACGAGAGACAGCAAATGACAGCAGTGAAACCCAAATGACAGCAGTGCCTCGAGAAACGTGATAAGAGTGTGAATCCCAGCATTGTCACAGTGAAAGTTTTCAAGTTGATCAGCATATTTCAGTTCGCTCTGCCCCGTTGAGGTGAGGTAATTATGAGAACACACACCTTCTTCTCCGTGACTCCGTGAGAGAAACAACGATGGCTTCGGGCCGACACCTAAAGCTGCGTTCGCACTGGAATGCCACTGTGCCTGATTGCATCTGCTGCAAATTCCAGCTGTTCACAGAATTTATTCACGTATTAATAAAATCTCCCTGCCTTTTCGGCTTGGGAATGTTTGACTTTGCCTATGACTAAAATGCAAACAAGTGAAATCAGATATAATGTGACAACTGAGCTTAATGATGCTTTTAAATGGCAATCAGGTTCTGCGGCCTATCGTTGGGTTTGCCCTTGAGCCCACACACAAACACGTTTGTGTATTTGAGGGAGTGGCAGTTTAAAATAGATTCGGAACAAAGACTTTTGTGTCCAAGTAGAACCACTATAAATCAGCATTTGTTTAAATTTAATTGAACGTTTCACAGCCAAATGTAACTTGGACGAGAGAAACTGATTAAAGGTCTATTTCCATCTAAAGTTGCAAATTTAACTTGAGTGCACACTTATCGCATAAAACATTATTTGTTTAAAGCAGCATTTCCATCTCGTGTTCAAAAGAACAATATCAAAACTTTTAGGGAAATTGGCGCAAAACATCTGTAATAAAATGGAAGTTGATGCAATCTGGGAAACACTTTTATCCTCCATCATAAATGATGAAAGACGAAACGCAATAAACGCCGTCATGATCTCTTGTGTTCGGTGAGAACGCAATCGTGTGAGACGCTTCTGGGAGAGAAAATGAGAAAATGAGAAATTAAACTAATGAAAGACTCTCGCGCATTTTAGAACGACAAAACCAACATTTGAGATGCTGTGATGTGATTGGTCCGCTGGTTAGTTCAGTTATCCAATCACAGCCTCTGCTGAGGCAGTCACATGAGCTTTTTGTTGCGTGTGTCGAAGCATTTATTTGTGAATGTGTTTCCATCGTAGTTTATGAGGATGACTTAATATTAGATAAAAAAATATCAATTGGGTGCATAAGTTTTGTACGTGCGCTTGTGGAATTTATGTGTATCGATTCTGATTGGCCGATCGCAGCAATCTGTAGTCGTATATTTTAGCATAGACATGTATTTATTATGTCTATGTATTTTAGCATAATGATGCTGAGCTGTTGTCCCAAACAACTGATTTTCTACATAATTGCTCTATCATACAAAGTTCAACAAGCTTTATGTGACAAAACGAGAGAGAAAAAAAGTGAAATACGGGCTTATGACATGAAGGCCTGTCATCTGCCGGTCCTGGCCAATCATTTACTTAGAATCAACACACATAGTCCGAATACACATGCAAAGCACACATGAAAGCTGCAGACCTCTCTGTTTGCATAATTAGATATAGTGTACCCATAATTTATACACAGAACCCATTTAACAACACGACACCATGGAAAGATTTATGACTGGCCCTCGGCTGTTAGCTGTCTGGGGCACTGAACACTAAATAAAACATGCTTTTGGCTTCATCAGACGAATTCAACAAATGAGCATAATCCTGGAACCATCAAATGCAATGCAAATGTTTCCCAGCAAAAGTTTGAGTTCGTTATATCAGACTTATAGCAGTGTAATTTCCAGTTATTCTTGCAAATATAAAATGTAACAAATATTTAGTAGTAACTTGTAGCCTACCTAGCCTATATACATGGCCCTGACAAAAAAACAAAATCGAGAATATCCAAATTAACTGATTAAGCGGTTATGATATTTTTAAACACATTATTAAATCAAAATGTTAATTTCTAACTATATTTAATTATGAAATTAAGTCTTTCACTTACAAACACAAATAGCTATAATAGCCTACATTAAGCGTCTTTAAAATTGTATGTGAACAAGGATTTGACATCTGTCACACAAACTCCTACTGCCATGATAGTGGACATTAAAAACTGCTATTGACACACAGGTAGGTAGGCTAACCTGCCACCTTAATTTACGCTGCGACAGTTAAGTTTTCAAACTTTTTATTTTACAATGAAGGCAGGTGCGACACGCTGTCATTATAAGAGTCTGAAAATACCCGTCAAAAGGCAGTTAAAGTCTTACCTGTCCGTGAGGAATTGCAGTCGCTCACCTGAGTGTCTCTCTCGGTTGTTATGAAGTAAACCAGTCAGAGCGCGAGACTCTTCAACAGCGCAGCTCAGCTGAGCTCATCTGCGCATGCGTCACACACAAAGCCGCAGCTGATTGGCTGAACACCCGAGACAAATGTGTAAACAAAAGTTTACAGTAAACACGGCTTGTGTCGTAAACATTACCGAAAAAAATCACCTTAAAACAATATAAAGAATGTAACAATAATACCTCAGGATTATGGTCATAACCTCATCACGTTTTTCCCCAATCCAATTTTTAAGTGACTAATAAGCAAGTGTGGATGCTAATTTGGCTTAAAAAAAGAAAGAAAAGTCCACATTTCTTATGTTCTATAGGCTACTGCACTTCTAGACAGTTGAATTCCATTCATGAAATTCCAGAATTAATTCAAGTACAAAGTATGAAGAGATAGCCTAGCCTAAAAATGAAAGTTTCACTTCGAAATGCAAGTAACTTTTATACATTTACAAAACCATGTTAAAAGACCTGTAATAATTAAAATATGTAGCCTAATAATTCTAGGCCAGATGACTCAAAACTCTCAAGCGTCAAACTTGTGATTCATGCGTTGTCACGTTGTCATTGTGATATGCTTTGATGCATTTATTAGTAGAACTGAACAAATGCTCTTTTCTTTGAGGGGAAATACTTTACTGCCTTCCCTATCAGCAAACGCAAACAGAAGTATAACTTTGAGGAATCGGCTCTTGGCTTTTGTTTAACAAATGACATTCCACCCGGTCATTGATTTACCAGGAATGTGTATCAAGTGTATGGTAGCTATGTGATCGATGTAAACCTGCCTAAGTTCGGGTATAATCAAGTTTATATCGAACAAAATGGTTATTTATTAAAGTCAATGTGCTGGAATAACCATTAAAGAGCATTTACAATGATCTGACTGTATTGGTACTAACGTTGTTTGTCAGTTTGTTAAATCCAAGATATGTTTACGTTTCGCTTTCATCACAGATACAAAGCCAAAGGACAAGATCGGGCGATTACAAGGGAGTCACTTTCTTTTGTACTGAAAAATAATCCAGTCAGAAAATATTATTAATGACGTCACATTAAAGTGGTAACGTGACTTGCATGAATCATCCTGTGATAGAAAAAAAAAACGTGAATCACAAACCTGAAAAAAGATAATGTTTAAACTAATCATTATAGTGCGCATTGATCTTTTTGACAATCGTATGTCTCTTGTCAGAGCCGTCCCAACATGATTAACTCCTAACACTCTCGGTTTTGGGATTAGCCTGAATTAACTTCTCTGCATCCACTTTAACCAACTGTGACTTAATCCCACACCGCCTGCTAAAACTACAACTGTTGGCATTTCATCAATACATGAACTTAATATAGGCTACTTCCCTCATGCCCTACGGCAGTCCTTCAGCTTTAACAGAAGAACAAACACAACCACAAAGATCAGCATTAGCTTTAGTTACATCAGGGTTTTTTAATTTGTAAGTAATAAGAGAACTAACTGCAGATGTAGTTAGTACATGCAATAAGGTCCTTTAAACATTAGCCTTTATTACGACTCAAGTGTGTGGAAAACATAATAGCTAAATCATGTTTTTTTCATGCGTTCCTGCGTCAACTGGGGAACGTCTTCAGGCTATAACAAAATTATATAAAATATATATTTATGTATTTAACTGGGTCTACTGTCTATGGTTTCTTTCTTTTTTAGCCTGTAAAGCAATTTTGATTTGCTGTAGGAAGGATTTCGGTTGGAAACCTTTTCCTTTAGTGTGTGTTAGTCCAACAGAGACATCTACAGGAGAAGACATGAAAGCACAGGAGCATGGAGAATATCTCAGAAAAATCATCGGTCAAAATCATTGTTTAAAAATATTAGATTGGACATTTCCAGTGGAGATCATAAGCTGGATAATAGGTGCATGTTAAAATTAACATTGTTTTTTTTTTCACTTTTGCTTAAATTTTTACCTGAATTATCTAACCTTTAAAATATTTGAAAAGTAATATGTTATGTAGGCCTATATATTTAGTTGTAAAATTTTAATATTTTAAAATAAATCAAGAAACATTCAGCTTTTTGTAATTTGGACTATATATATATATATATATATATATATGTAGGCCTATATATTTAGTTCTAAAATTTTTATATTTTAAAATAAATCAAGAAACATTCAGCTTTTTGTAATTTGGACTATATATATATAGTCTAAAATATAGGTTTTTTTAATTATAGCAGGGCTGCATTTATTTGATCGAAAATACGCTAAATTGTAATAATATTTTACATTGCTGAATTTAAATTAACCGTTTTCTGTTGTAATGTTAAAATGTAATTTATTCCTGTGATCAAAGCTGTATTTTCAGCATCATTACTCCAGTCTTCAGAGTCACATGATCCTTCAGAAATCACTCTAATATGATGATTTGCTCGAGAAACATTTATGATTGTTATCAAGGTTAAACACAATATTTTTATGCAAACTGTGATTTTCTTTTCAGGATTCTTTGATGAATAGAAAGTTCAAAAGAACTGCGCTTAGGCTATTATAAATAACTTTTTTGTAAACATTTAGTAACTTCATAAATGTCTTTACTGCCTTTTTTGGCCAATTTAATTTGACTTTGCTAAATTAAAGTAGCTATTCATTTATTTTTAAAATTATATAAAATTATTATTATTTTTTGCAGATAAATCCTTACTTAGGCCTACACCAATCTTTTGAATGGTAACGTTAGTGTATCCAAATGACAAGGCAAAATGCATTGGCAAATATTTTAAAGGGATTCAGTGTAAATTAGAAACTAAAAACAAAACAACATTTCAGGTCTATCCACCTTTTCCTAACAAGCCTATTGCGTTTTAGTTTACAGGTGGCACTTCCGGTTTGCTGACTGAAACACAGATTTACTGTAAACAAATCACGCTTTTTTTACAAATTATGTAATGATCTCCCCTTTTCACTTTGAATTTACAGTGTTTGCTGGAACGGTTCTATAAAGCAGGTAAGTACAGTATTCATTATCAGTCACAATGACGGAAATGACTTTGATTTATCACTTAAACAGAAGTTACTCAGTCTCAACAATTCACACAAAGCAGCATTGGGCGTGTAGGAAAAAGCTGGATAGATTGCAACAAGTATTTTTTTCCCATTAATTTCTTTAAAAACGTCATAAAGCCATGAACCAAGCCAACCAGCGAGGAGAATCACAACTCTACAAACTTTGATTTGAAGCAAAAACGATTTTTGAAAATCAGACAAAAATACAGACCTTTCGTGAGGGAAAGAACTACAATCCCATGAAGCATTGCAAACAGCATAATCGAATTAAAAACTATGAAGAAATATAAAACTACTCTTTTAAAATGTTGATTACATACTGTATGTAAAAGTTCATAGCCTGAAGCAAATATCATCATAGCTCACAGTAGAAGTTATTGTTAAACATAATTTTCCCTATTTTTTTACCCAGACATGACATCATAAAGAACTTGTTTTGATCAGATTCTTTGACCAAATCAGTTCTCGGTCAGAACATTCTGTGGTTGCGTGTTGGCTTTCAATGGTGATTTACAGCTGCTGAAATCAAGGTTCCCTAGAGAGAGCTCCGGCTCCCCTCCCAGCACATCTGGATCTGCTCTCCCATGTTTCTACACTTAAAGCAAAGGCGACCAGAACAGTCTATTCACAATAACAACCCAACTGCAACTCTGAGCAACTGCCCTGTAACATCAGTTGAATATCAATATGTTAAATAATGTTGCACACATTGTTAATAGCAGGCACTGACATGTGAAGTCATCAGGCGACATCACCTCATGTTATTTGTGAAGTCTTTTTAATGTACACTCACTTTAATGTACACTTTGGGTCAAATATGGACAAACCCAAACGTTGGGTTAAAACTTCAATTAAAAATTTAACACAATTGCTATTTATATTTGACCCAAAGTTGGGTTAAAACAACCCAGCAATTTTTAGAGTATATTATGTGATTCATCATGAGTGAAGGATGCTGGGTAAAATGCTCTCCACCCTTCTGAATCACTTTCATTTAAAGACATCTTGACATGTTCAGTTCAAGTTCCAGTTTAATTAAAGGGTAATTAGTTTTTCTTCATTTCAAAACTTGCCAAATTTCTCTGTTTTGGACAGTTTGGACAGGTAATATTGCACTTTTTGCTTTCCTAAAAATAAAATTAATTAAAAACATTAATTCAAATTTTTTTTTGTTTTGAAATAGCTGATATTCCTGTCATTATGTTACACATTTTATTTAATAAATAACACTGGTTTACAGCCAAAATGCTTTGAAATAAATGTTGTCAAACGTTATTCTGGGTCATTGAGATTGAAAACTGCTGATTGGCTTTAGTCTTGCTATTCATCCCCTGGGTCATATATATTGACATAATAGCAGCTATTGTTAATTTATGACATCTTCACTGCATCTATTGTGGTGTCATAACTGTATTTTTGTGCAAAAATTGTCAGGTGTGGCACAAATTTGGTTTTAGGCGCTTAAGTCATAGATGATGCAATCATAATGAAGCTTACATAAACCTGCTGAACAAATGACCCTATATAAACTGCCCTGTATATAATGACCCTATATAAACTGCCCTGCCCTATATTCACTTCAGAATTAAAATGTCCTTATAATTTACTCACCCCCACGTCATCCAAGATGTTCATGTCTTTCTTTCTTCAGTCGAACAGAAATTAAGGTTTGAGGAAAAATTTACAGGATGTTTCTCCATATAGTGACTTCAATGAGGTAGAAGGTCCAAATGTCACTTTCAGCGGCGCTTCAAACACGATCCCAGCCGAGGAATAAGGGTCTGATATAGCCAAACCATCGCTCATTTTCTAAAAAATAAATAAAGATTTTTATACTTTTCAAAATGATCGTCTTGTACGCTCAAAATTGCTGAAATCGTATCTATACAATTTACACAGACGTAAAATGTTTGAGAAACCCTCCACCTTCCCCAGCTGTAAAGAAAATAATCCTGTAAAAAAAACAGTAAACTACTGGCAGCTGTGTCTATGTGTTACTGTTTTTGTGTTCGAGCATATAGCTGTTAAATTAAAGTTTTATACTGTAGCAAACAATACAGTATTTATCTGTTAGTTTCAAAAACAGTAACACACCATATTATTTTTACAGTACACTCTTAGAAGAAATGGTTCTATTTAGAACCAGAAATGGTTCCATCCCCCGCTTCATATTTGGAACTCCAAAATGGTTCTATATTGGTAAAAGGTTCTATTGGCCAAGTATGGAACCCCAGGGTTCTATATAGAACCCAGAGGAACCCTTTTTTAAGAGTGTATAGAACTTTAGGGGTTCCAAATACGTAGCACTGATAGAACCTTTTAAGGTTCTATATAGAACCTTTTCTTCTAAGAGTGTATGATGCTGGCACAGCTGCCTGTAGTTAGGTAAAAATGATTTTTTTACAGAATAGATTTGCTACGGATAATTAATGTACGCTATATTGTACAGCAGCAGCATATCTTCCTTTCTAACAGCAGCGTGTGTGTGTGTGTTGGCATAACATGTCCAGTACTTGCTCTGCAGCAGCATATTTATTCTGCCAAGACCAACCATCAACAATGTTATATCCATTACCATGTGTGTGAGTGTGTGTCTACTTTAAAAAAAAATATGTCACTGCATATAATATTATAATTACAATCAATTCACCTTTTTCTACAGGTTAGATAGTTTCCACTCCTGTGGGCATTAAATCCACTCCACATTTCAAGCAGTTAAAATGAAGATCCACTTGAAACTGCAAAACGTGGATGAGTGATGTGGGAGACACAAAGCAGAGATCCAGCTGTGTTTTTGGTCAGATGAGCTGTTCGTTTTCTCATCTCTAAGCATCTCTGTCCAATAAACAAATTATTGCATACGTAAAAATATAAGTATGTATTATTAAGATATTTGATGTATATGACAAGTGACATTATTTTTAAAACACAAACAAGGTTCAAAATATGGGGGATTTTGGTGCATTTTTGTGCAGTGCTGCAATACATCATTAGACGAGGGCCTTGCACATGTGCAGTGTTGTGGAGACTGCCGTTGCTATGCCTGTACATCTGGAAATGAAAAGGAGTTTCTGAACAGCAAAATGGTCCACGCCTAGAGCAACACCCTACAGAAGTAAAATAAATAAATTAGTTCAGCACAAGAAAGATCAACCCTTCCCTTTCAAAAGCAGCAGTAAAAACTTTCTAGTAGCCTACAACTCATCACTGGAGAGCTACGGTCGATAAGAGAAGGCATCTGTTCAGTTTAGACACAATCCATTAGGTCATTAACACGGGACACATCATGAGCCGCACAGCAGAGACTGACAGGTGTGGGAAAATTAGCTCAAGAGGATCCCAATCACTATCAGAACCCATTTAGACCTGGTATTAAAATGTGATCTGTATCCAGATAAGTTACCCGGATAATAATAAACGCATGTGTAAATGCGTTGTGATCGGATCTGCCTGCCACATCTGGAGGTAGTCTGGCTCGCATTGTGTTCGGATCTTTACTAGGTGTAAACGCAATCTGGTTGTAGAAACCACATATGAATATATTTTACTCCTCCCAAAAATGCCAAAAAATAAACGAATGAGAGCGTGTTATATAGGCTATGTCATGTTATAGTCAGATATGACGGCGCTACTGCGACACGCATCACCGCAGACAGTGGTGGAGGAAGTACTGAATCTCAGTACTTAAGTAAAAGTACAAATAACCAGATAAATATTTACTTTAGTAAAAGTAGAAGTAACACAATGACTACCATACTTAAGTAAAAAGTAAAAAGTACTGTATTTTAAATGTACTTTAAGTATTAAAAGTAAAAGTACTTGCATAACAATTTATTATCTTAATGTCTATTTTCTAATGATTAATAAAACATTTAATTCTAACTCATTCAACCTAATAGCCTACTCCTATAATGATGTTCAATAATGATGGAAAAAAATGTCACCATTTCTGAAACAAGCTTGCAATTAGGCAATATCATGCTTATCCTTACTATATGTTAATAACTTGGCAGTAAACGCGATTCATTTATGGTGTAATTCTGAACCTCTTGGCTTGCCATAATCCTAACCAAACCAAACGTATATTACACACGGTGTGTTTCCTATGCACGTAAAAACAAATTTTCGCGTATGAGTTGCATGATAAACACACTGCGTGCGAGACGCATTTAGTGTGACCGGGTTGATATACTGTATCTATGGCAACCAAACGTCACTGGTGAGACAAACATGCAACGAACGGACGGTCAGATTACGTTTTGGCAGGGGAAAAACTGATCAGAAAATGTAACGAAAATGTAACAGAAGTTGTAGAAATGTAGTGGAGTAGAAAGTATAATAATTGCTGCAAAATGTAACGAAGTAAAAGTAAAAAGTATGCACTATTTATTGTACTTAAGTAAAGTAAAGATACGTGAAAAATGTACTTAAGTAAAGTAACGAAGTATTTGTACTTCGTTACATTCCACCACTGACCGCAGATGAGCAGCTGAGCGTCTATTCATCAAGCCAACGTGCAAACATCGCAAATAAAAGTGAAAGTAATCTCTTATTGATGTCTTTGATTTGGAAATTAGCTGATGATCAATAAAATGCAGCTCATATCTGTTGCTTTTGGTGGCGTGCAATCCATTAAATCTGCATATAACGCGGGAGTTGAAGATCGGATTTATATCCGTTTTGCAAAAACACATTTATGTGGCCAGGTGTGAATCGGTACTTATTATCCGGATAACTTATCTGGATACAGACCGCATTTTAATACCAGGTCTCAGACACGCACGTCAACGGCAAAGAAATTCAGAAATTAAAATTCTGTCATCATTTACTCACCCTCATGTTGTTGAACAGAAAAGAAGATATTTGGAAAAATGTTCAGAAATGTAGTCTCTGAGGTAGCTGTTAATAGCTATGCCGGGGAAAATTAACTCTGGGGTAAGTTTCCACCAGTTCCTTAAATATGAGTCAGTCAGGGCGATATGGGTCTGAAACAATAGGCGTGATATTTTCATAAGGAGACACACCACAGTCAGCAAAAGCTACACACCTTCATAATTATGAATAAATGAGGAGGCTTAAAACTTAAACACCAGCTCCTGTAAACACCTGTAAAGTTGTCACTCAAGTTGTAGGGCAAAAGGAACAGCTCAACTCAACTGTTCTGTTAATTTTAATAATTCAGACCTTATCCTTTAAATCAAATAATCCTCTCAGTTAACAGCTCAGCTTTAAAGGGGGAAAGAATTTCACTGGCGTCACTTACAGTAAAGGAGATCTGGGTTTGTGTAACCCTCCGCAGGGAAGTACCCACTAATATAAGGGTGAATCCTTGCCGGAGAGAGCAGAACGTGGTACAAAAGGAAATTCAGTAATATGAGTACAGAAGATTTTCATGGAAACAAAGGCAAGATAAACCGAATCAAATCCGTGTTATCTCAGGCATTCCTCAAGCAGAGCTGCTATAACATTCCCAAGTGACTTAAACCCAATTATTTCTCAACGCCCTGGAGACCTAGTGCCTCAAGTTGGACTTGTTGGACAGCCGGACAGAATCACGTATTCTCAGTATTACGAATAAACCAGTGGAGTGTGTTTATGTGTATGTGAGATGTATAAATGATTATGGGGCGGCTTCAGTACAGGATAAAAAGGGTGGAAAACACACTAACAGCTCTGAGAGAGATACTTTTACCTGTTCTGAAGGCGTTTTGGACAGCGAGTGACGGGGTAAGACAGCAGAGAACAACTCAGAACAAGAGAAGAAGCTGATCTAGAGTCGTCGCAGTCGGATAGACAGCATGTATTGGGACGTGGCCCTCTGGAGCGCCGGGATCTGGGCGATTCTGAGTTTAGCTGCTGGACAACTGACCGAGCAGGAGAAATCAACCATCGTGGACATGCACAACAAGCTTCGCTCTCGGGTTACGCCCAGCGCCGCCTTCATGCAGAAAGTGGTAAGAGATGCACCTGACTGGAGAAACACATGTACACAATCAATCTCAACCAATCTTTTCTTTAAAAAGAACAAATCTTACTTACCTCAAACTTTTAAAAGGGGGTGTACATGATGCAAATCTTTCCCCAACCACATGTGTGTAATTTCTGAGTTTGATCTCAGACTGTTGATGTGTTGGTCTCTGGATGCTCTTATGAGGTCAAAACATCTAATAATCTGCCATCAATCACTGGAATCATATCTTCAATGGTCTCATTACTGCTGTAAACAACAATTATCACATTAATATCCATGGTAATTGTGTCTTGATGCTTATTCATTAGCACAAACAACTTTAAAATGCTAGGGAGTCTAAGTCATGCAGTAATCATACCAAATGAAAACTGATCCTAAATTAAGTATTTAATAAATCACTCCACAAAGTAATTTAGTATCAATGTTATTATGTAAAATGGCTCTTTGAGATAGAAACCATCATGAGTCCGGTTCATTTTGACTGAATGGAGTGTGTGTGGGTGTGTGGATGAATGAAATACCATTGCGTAGTGTGTGTGTGTGTGTGACATGCTGAGGAATGTGAATGTTATATGAGACCGCAGGAACACTATGCTGAGTGTGAGTGTTTTAATAAAGTGGTCATCCTGTCTTAATCTCTAATATTTGTATTACGGGTGAAATTCAGAGCAGAAATATTGGGAGATTCAGTGGAAAAGACTACATTTACACAACAATAGAGTGGATCATACCAACAACAACATGCTGGGTCAGATTTGAAAAGAAAGAAAACAAAGCTTATTGTGCAATACAGGTGTGAGAATTTGGAGGTGCATCATCATGAAAGCTTAAGAATTGCCTACTTGACTATTCAAGCACAAAAAAAAGATGCGAAAGGGAAATCAATTAATTAGTTTAAGCATCTGAAGCACGTTCCTAGAAAGTCTCAGACATCGCATGAGTACTAAATTGAGCTCACTTTCATTTCTTCTTGCACTCGAATTGACAAATTCACACAAAATTAGGTCACAAAATGCCCGTCACGACGAGTATCCTAGTAAACATTGTCGATTATGTTTTAAGTGAACGTAAACAGTAGAAAAAGAAAATGCATGTGTACAGTATATTAGTAGCCTATATTGAACGCGTACATTAGGTCTTAAAGTGACAGTATCCTAATATTATAGACCTACCTGAAAAGCACTATTTTATTTTTGTATCTTAGCTCTATTGTATTTATTTGTGATATTGCTTGTAAGTATATGTATATATTTCCCATTTTCTTTCATTTTTTGTTCTTATTTTGGATCTTAACATGAAATACGACCAGGCTTTCCGAGATTCTGCTGTCACAAAACGAACAAACGTCAAAGTCAAATAACATCATCAAACTTGTTTCTGTCGTTTAAGGTGTGGAACGAGACACTGCGTGTGGTGGCGGAAGCTTACGCGGCGAAATGCACCTGGAAACACAACCCTGACCTTCAGAAACTCTTTTTGGGTGAAAATCTCTTTGTCACCGCTGGAGCTTTTAATGCAACCGAAGCAATGGTTAGATGGTATGAAAACTATCTTAACTAAAACATAAATGAGAGTGAATGAATGCCTACCAATGATCTGTGATATGTAGATCTATTACCTATAAGCATTAAAGCAACTAATTTCTTTGCACCCCAGGTTTGATGAAAATGTGGATTATAACTATGAAAACAAGTCCTGTCCTACAAACAAAATGTGTGGCCATTACACTCAGGTAAGCACCGTTTCCATTCTGTGCGTTTGATTGGTTTTCACAGTATTACTATGCAGATGTGACGATGTGTTTCTGTTGTTTTTACAGATGGTGTGGGCAAACACCAACAGAATCGGCTGTGCTACTCACTTCTGTGACACTGTTGAAGGTTCAAGTTTCAAGAAGGCCACTATTCTCGTCTGCAATTACGATCCTCCGTAAGTGTGTTTCAATAATCCAAACTGAACATGAACTAAATGTTCTAGATAGAGTGTTTATTCTAGAATATCGCCAGTTTTACTATATTTATTGTGGTATAAGTTGCAACTTTACATCATATGAGTTCATATACAAATATTTCAGTCTAGAAGTTTATACCACCAGCTAATACTAAAACACAGCTTTAAAACTGTCTTAAGTAGTGGTTCTCAACCTTTACCTGTGCGTTTCTGGATGCGGTCGTTCCCTTTTCCTCTCTGACGGTCACAATTGTTGCATCACGTGTTTGAGCTATATATATATATATAATCAGCATAATTAATCAGCATATAATCGGAGGATAGTGATGGATGTCTCGCCCAGTAACCATTCCCTGTGGGCTCCTCACTCTAGAAATAAATTTTTAGCTGTTTAAGCTTAAATAAAGATATTTAAGCCATTTGAGAACCACCGATCTAAAATATGTTTCACATATTAAATTGAAATATCTATTAAATCCATCCTTCCATTTTTCATTCCCATAGAGGAAATTTTAGGGGACAAAATCCTTACGTGTCTGGACAGCCGTGCTCAAAGTGTCCAGCAAACCTGCCAGTGTGTGAGGAGAAAATCTGCGGTAATGTTAAAACTTTATCAGTGTAAATCAACCTAAAGCTAACATGAACTAAAACATTGTGGAAAGTGGCCATGAATAACTAAACTATGCCCATTTTTGTTTTACACACTCCTCTCAATCTCTTTTCCTCACAGTGCATAGTAGGAATCCCATCCAACCACCCGAGGAGCCGAACGTCCCTGAAAACCCAGGTCATGGATCCAAGATAGAAAGCGTTACATTTCATTTACTGATACTCATCGTGCTGGCGCTTGTTTTGTAAGGGTTTCCTCGAGCCAGATTCCACTCCAAAAATGTTTAGAATAAGTTCATCCCCTAAAAATGGCTCAAGTATCATAGAGGTTAAGTTATATTGTTTCTTCACCATTTGGCTTGATAACATCAGAATGGGAATGGGTGACAATGGGCTGTCTCAACTTCATTAACATACAGAAACCACAGCTGTTACAACATGAGCAACATCATTTACATTAAGAGTGGTAAAACTCTAACAGGGTAAAAGGTTTAAAATTTCGATGTTTCTGGGTTCGTTCTGACGCCAGTGAAACCAAGGTGCTTCGTGTACCTTGCCACTTCTATGCTGTAATAAACTTCATTTTTGAGATCTTCGATGTCCACATAATTTTTTCTTACAGATCCTTCATAACCTGATGAGAAATACACAAAAAAACATGAGATGTGTGTGTGTATGTATGTTTTAATTAAGCTAAGATGTTTTAAAAAAGCTTTTAAAAAGAAAAGTATTTTAAATACAACATTAATGAAGCAATTAAGTACTTTTTTGAAGTAACTTACCCAACACAGCACGGTACACATACAACAGAGTCGGACAAGCGTGTGAAAATGAGTTCCCTAACATGCGGATGCCAATCCCTCAAAGACACACGTAAACAGCAAAGAAATGTAAAATGTTCAAAACCTGTATGAGTTTCTTTCTTCCGTTGAACACATGCAGAAGATACACTATAAAGCCAAAAGTATTGGGACACCCATCCAAATAATTAAATTCAGGTTTTCCAATCACTTTCATGGAGACAGTTGTATAAAATCAAGCACCTAGGCTTGTTGCAACTCTTTATGCCAAGATATTTTGGACAATTTCATGGTCCCAATTTTGTGATAACAGTTTTGGGATGACCCCTTCCTATTCCAACATGGCAGCGCACCAGTGCACCACAAAGCAATGTCCCGATAGAACACCTTTGGGATGAATTCGAGACTGCGAACCAGATCCAACATCAGTGCCTGACCTCACAAATGCGCAAAAATCGCCTAAATCTAAACCTTGGGTGCTATCTACTCTTTTTGACGATTTTAAGTTGTTTCCTCTGTCACGATGATCAAAAATAATTTGGGATTGTGGCAATTTGTGTTGTGGAAGTCTCACCACTACAGTTTTCAAATTTGTTTCTTGAAATGTAGTTAGTTTGCATTGTCAATTTTAATAATTCAGACCTTATCCTTTAAATCAAATGATCCTCTCAGTTAACAGCTCAGCTTTAAAGGGGGAAAGAATTTCACTGGCGTCACTTACAGTTAAGGAGATCTGGGTTTGTGTAACCCTCCGCAGGGAAGTACCCACTAATATAAGGGTGAATCCTTGCTGGAGAGAGCAGAATGTGGTACAAAAGGAAATTATTTCAGTAATATTAGTACAGAAGATTTTCATGGAAACAAAGGCAAGATAAACCGAATCATATCCCTGTTATCTCAGGCATTCCTCAAGCAGAGCTGATAACATTCCCAATGACGAAAACATAATTATTTCTCAACGCCTTGAAGACCTAGTGCCTCAAGTTGGACTTGTTGGACAGCCGGACAGAATCACGTATTCCCAGTATTACGAATAAACCGGTAGAGTGTGTTTGTGTATGTGAGATGTGACCAAGGGGCAGCTTGAATACAGGATAAAAAGGGTGTGAGTTTCATTCTGGGGTTCTACGTTCTCTCTCACATACACACACTAACAGCTCTGAGAGAGATATTTTTACCTGTTCTGAAGGCATTTTGGACAGCGAGTGACGGGGTAAGACAGCAGAGAACAACTCAGAACAAGAGAAGAAGCTGATCTAGAGTCGTCGCGGTCGGATAGACAGCATGTATTGGGACGTGGCCCTCTGGAGCGCCGGGATCTGGGCGATCCTGAGTTTAGCTGCTGGACAACTGACCGAGAAGGAGAAATCAACCATCGTGGACATGCACAACAAGCTTCGCTCTCAGGTTACGCCCAGCGCCGCCTTCATGCAGAAAGTGGTAAGAGATGCACCTGACTGGAAAAACACATGCACACAACATATTTCGCTTTGGTTCTAGTGGTGAAAACCTTCAGAGTTACTGAACAAAAAGTCCACACAAAAATGTCTTAACTTAAAAAAAAAACAAAAAAAAAACTTACCCCAAACTTTTCAATGGTAGTGTACAGGTTGACTTTCCCCAACCACATGTGTGTGATTTCTGAGTTTGATCTCAGACTGTTGATGTGTTGGTCTCTGGATGCTCTTATGAGCTCAAAGCATCTAATAATCTGCCATCAATCACTGGAATCATATCTTCAATGGTCTCATTACTGCTGTAAACAACAATTATCACATTAATATCCATGGTAATTGTGTCATGATGCTTATTCATTAGCACAAATAACTTTAAAATGCTAGGGAGTCTAAGTCATGCAGTAATCATGATTGTGGTTTACCAAATGAAAACTGATCCTAAATGAAGTATTTAATAAATCACTGCACATAAAGTAATTTAGTATCAATGTTATTATATAAAATGAATCTTTGAGATAAAGCTTACCTGCTGTGTGAAACACCTCAGCTGTGTCATGTGAACGCTTGAGACAATCCTTTATTTATAAAGAGGGTCTTTTCACATAGAAACCATCATGAGTCCGGTTCATTTTGACTGAATGGAGTGTGTGTGGGTGTGTGGATGAATGAAATACCATTGCGTAGTGTGTGTGTGTGTGTGTGTGTGTGTGACAAGCTGAGGAATGTGAATGTTATATGAGACCGCAGGAACACTGCTGAGTGTGATTGTTTTAATAAAGTGGTCATCCTGTCTTAATCTCTAATATTTGTATTACGGGTGAAATTCAGAGCAGAAATATTGGGAGATTCAGTGGAAAACACTCGGTTTTGTGTGAAACATGTTTTGTTCACTTCATTACTCGCACGCTGTGTGTGGGAAGTTTAAGCATCTGAAGCACGTTCCTAGAAAGTCTCAGACAGCGCATGAGTACTAAATTGAGCTCACTTTCATTTCTTCTTGCACTTGAATGGACGACGAGTATCCTAGTAAACATTGTCGGTTATGTCTTAAGTGAACGTAAACAGTAGAAAAAGCATGTGTACAGTATATTAGTAGCCTATATTGAACGCGTACATTAGGTCTTAAAGTGACAGTATCCTAATAGTATAGACCTCCATGAAAAGCACTATTTACTTCATTTGTATCTTAGTTTTTTTGTATTTATTTGTGATATTGCTTGTAAGTATATATATATATTTCCCCTTTTCTTTCATTTTTTGTTCTTATTTTGGATCTTAACATGAAATATGACCAGGGTTTCCGAGATTCACTCAATGTTAATTAACTAAAGCATAATACATAATTATAATAATGTAAAACAACATTGGTTTATTTAAGAGTTCAGAAAATAAATTGTTCTGCTATCACAAAACGAACAAACGTCAAAGTCAAATAACATCATCAAACTTGTTTCTGTCGTTTAAGGTGTGGAACGAGACACTGCGTGTGGTGGCGGAAGCTTACGCAGCGAAATGCATCTGGAAACACAACCCTGACCTTAAGGAACTCTTTTTGGGTGAAAATCTCTTTATCACCACTGGAGCTTTCAATGCAACTGAAGCAACGGTTAGCTGGTATGAAAACTATCTTAACTAAAACATAAATGAGAGTGAATGAATGACTACCAATGATCTGTGATGTGTAGATCTATTACCTATAAGCATTAAAGCAACTCATTTCTTTGCACCCCAGGTTTGATGAAAATGTGGATTATAACTATGAAAACAAGTCCTGTCCTAAAAACAAAATGTGTGGCCATTACACTCAGGTAAGCACCGTTTCCATTCTGTGCGTTTGATTGGTTTTCACAGTATTACTATGCAGATGTGACGATGTGTTTCTGTTGTTTTTACAGATGGTGTGGGCAAACACCAACAGAATCGGCTGTGCTACTCACTTCTGTGACACTGTTGAGGGTCTAAGTTTCAAGAAGGCCACTATTCTCGTCTGCAATTACGATCCTCCGTAAGTGTGTTTCAATAATCCAAACTGAACATGAGCTAAATGTTCAAGAATTTGTCAGGTTGTACATCATATGAGTTCATTTACAAATATTTCAGTCTAGACGTTTGTACCACCAGCTAATACTGAGACAAACTTTTAAAACTGTCTCAAGTGATTTTCAACCTTTTCAAACTACTGCAATAATCTAATCAACCAATCACATGGCAGTTGCTCCAATGCATTTAGGGGTGTGGTCCTGGTCAAGACAATCTCCTGAACTCCAAACTGAATGTGAATGGGAAAGAAAGGTGATTTAAGCAATTTTGAGCGTGGCATGGTTGTTGGTGCCAAACGTATTTCACAATCTGCTCAGTTACTGGGATTTCCACACACAACCATTTCTAGGGTTTACAAAGAATGCTGTGAAACGGGAAAAACATCCAGTATGTGGCAGTCCTGTGGGCCAAAATGCCTTGTTGATGCTAGAGGTCAGAGGAGAATGGGCCGACTGATTCAAGCTGATAGAAGAGCAACTTTGACTGAAATAACCACTTGTTACAGCCGAGGTATTCAGCAAAGCATTTGTGAAGAAGCCACAACACACACAACTTTGAGGCGGATGGGCAACAACAGCAGAAGACCCCACCGGGTACCACTCATCTCCACTACAAATAGGAGAAAGAGGCGACAATTTGCAAGAGCTCACCAAAATTGGACAGTTGAAGACTGGAGAAATGTCGCCTGGTCTGATGAGTCTCGATTTCTGTTGAGACATTCAGAATTTGGCGTAAACAGACTGAGAACATGGATCCATCATGCCTTGTTACCACTGTGCAGGCTGGTGGTGGTGGTGTAATGGTGTGGGGGATGTTTTCTTGGGACACTTTAGGCTCCTTAGTGCCAATTGGGCAGCGTTTAAATGCCACAGCCTACCTGAGCATTGTTTCTGACCATGTCCATCCCTTTATGGCCACCACGTCCCCATCCTCTGATGGCTACTTTCAAGCTGGATAATGCACCACGTCACAAAGCTCGAATCATTTCAAATTGGTTTCTTGAACATGACAATGAGTTGACTGTACTAAAATGGCCGCCACAGTCACCAGATCTCAACCCAATAGAGCATCTTTGGGATGTGGTGGAACGGGAGCTTCGTGCCCTGGCTAAATATGACAGTTGTTGAGGGAATGAATTAAGATATGATGAGAAATACATTTTTAGCAGTTTAAACTTAAAGATTTTTCAGCCATTCGAGAACCACTGATCTTAAATACCTTGCACATAATAAATTGTCCATCCTTACTTTTTTCCTTCATTTCAGAGGAAATTTTAGGGGACAAAATCCATACGTGTCTGGAGAGCCGTGCTCAAAGTGTCCAGAAAACCTGCCAGTGTGTGAGGAGAAAATCTGCGGTAATGTTAAAACTTTATCAGTGCAAATCAACTTAAAGCTAACATGAACTAAAATAATGTACAAAGCGGCCATGAATAGCTAAACTATGCATATTTTTGTTGTACACACTCCTCTAAATCTCTCTTTTCCTCACAGTGCGTGAGAATCCCCTCCATCCATTCGAGGAGCCAGGCGTCGCTGTAGACCCGACTGTCTCACCGGAGTGGGACGTCACTGAAGACCCGATAGTCTTACCGGAGTGGGACGTCACTGAAGACCCGATAGTCTTACCGGAGTGGGACGTCACTGAAGACCCGATAGTCTTACCGGAGTGGGACGTCACTGAAGACCCGATAGTCTTACCGGAGTGGGACGTCAATGAAGACCCGATAGTCTTACCGGAGTGGGACGTCAATGAAGACCCGATAGTCTTACCGGAGTGGGACGTCACTGAAGACCGATAGTCTTACCGGAGTGGGACGTCACTGAAGACCCGATTGTCTTACCGGAGTGGGACGTCACTGAAGACCCGATAGTCTTACCGGAGTGGGACGTCAATGAAGACCCGATAGTCTTACCGGAGTGGGACGTCAATGAAGACCCGATAGTCTTACCGGAGTGGGACGTCAATGAAGACCCGATAGTCTTACCGGAGTGGGACGTCACTGAAGACCCGATAGTCTTACCGGAGTGGGACGTCACTGAAGACCCGATAGTCTTACCGGAGTGGGACGTCAATGAAGACCCGATAGTCTTACCGGAGTGGGACGTCAATGAAGACCCGATAGTCTTACCGGAGCGGGACGTCACTGAAGATCCGACTGTCTTACTGGAGCGGGACGTCACTGAAGACCCGATAGTCTTACCGGAGTGGGACGTCACTGAAGACCCGATAGTCTTACCGGAGTGGGACGTCAATGAAGACCCGATAGTCTTACCGGAGTGGGACGTCAATGAAGACCCGATAGTCTTACCGGAGTGGGACGTCACTGAAGACCCGATAGTCTTACCGGAGCGGGACGTCACTGAAGATCCGACTGTCTTACTGGAGCGGGACGTCACTGAAGATCTGACTGTCTTACCGAAGCGCTCCCACTCGACCACGGAGCCCGTCAATGTTCCCCGAGAGTCCACACGCGTGCCTGTTAAAGTACATGTAGATGAGACCAGCATGGAAAAAACAACCAAGAGTCATGGATCCATCCAAGATGGACAGCGTTAGCGTGATGCTAGCGCTTGTTTCATCAGCGCAGTCTCATCCCAAGACGTCATATAACTGACGTCTTGTTACCATTCGTCAACATCCGCCTTTTTAGGGTACCCTTAAACGTCGGTTAGATGACGTTATCGGATCCTAACCCTACCCCAGACCTAAACCTACCCCGTCACCTAACTGACGTTAAAGGTAAAGCGTCAGTTGTATGACGGCCCGGGGTTTGTCATGTAACCGACGTTTAAGGGTACCCTAAAAAGCCGGATGTTGACGTATGGTCAAAAGACGTCAGTTATATGACTTCTTGGGATGAGACTGTGTTAGTTTCGTGAGGGTCTGGAGTGGATAAGATCTGTAAGAAATTGTTGTCTGCCACTCCAAAAACGATTAGAACAAGTTTATCCCCTAAAAATGGCTCAAATATCATAGAGATGAAAGTGAAGTTATATTATTTCTTCCCCATTTGGCTTGATCACATCCTGAGCATATGGTCATCATCAATTGTAGAATGGGAATGGGTGTGGGACAGAGAACCGTCTCAGACATGGACTGTCTCAACTTCATTTACATTAGGAGTGGTAAAACTGTAACAGGGTAAAAGGTTTAAGATTTTGATGTTCTGGGTTCATTCTGACGCCAGTGAAACCAAGCTTTGAGTACCTTGCTACTTCTATGCTGTAATAAACTTCATTTTTGAGATCTTCGATGTCCACATCATTTTTTCTTACAGATCCTTCATAACCTGACAGTGTTGTAGTCGAGACCACCTCATTCGAGTCCGAGTCGAGACCGAGTCCATAGAGAGTCGAGACCGAGACCAGTGAGGGTTGATTACCTAATTTACTTTTATTTACTTAGAGAAATCCTTTTTTTACTGAATTTACTTTAGAGTTTAAAAAATATGATCAGTTTAGGGTAAAAAGGCCACACAGTAGGTGGTGTTAAAAGTAATTTTATTACAATTTGTCATGCGCAGTTGCGCACTAGAAAATCACCAATCACTGGGTGTGTCAATCAATTTAAAGAAATATTTTATTTACATACATTAATAATCATGAAAAATATTTTGAATTGAACTCGAGTGGACTCGGGAATAAGTCCGAGTCCTAAACAAAAAATGTTCGAGTACGAGTCAATTCCGAGTCCAAATGCACACGAGTCCATGTCAAGACCAAGACCCCAAGTCCGAGTCTCGAGTACTACAACACTGTAACATGATGAGAAATACACAAAACCCATGAGATGTGTGTGTGGACTGCAAAAGATTTTCGTCTTCCTCAGTATTTTTACAATTAAACGTTCAAGAGACAGTTACTTGTGTACAGTTACACAAAATGACAGAAAATATGGAGTCTTGTTTAATAAAAAAAACACTTCTGTTTAGCTTAAAACAAGAAAAAAATCTCTCTTAATGAAACTTGAAACTCCTGACTAATCACCAAAGGCTTCGATTAGGATGACAATAGCGTATATATATATATATATATATATATGGTAGAAAACAGAAAATTAAGACATCAAGAGTAAATTAAGGTGTTTGAGAAACAAACCAAAATCTTTGAATTTAACCTCTTGTTTTATCGCAGCTTTTTGTAAAGTGAAATAAAAAACTTTTTTCAAATCTTTTAAGATAATCTCATGCAAACCGGTTTTTATGGAAGATTGTTTCCGCCATGGAATAACAAATAAATGAGGAATTGCTACTTTTTGTCTCACAATTGGCTTCCTGAACTTAAGCCAGCTCCTTAGCCGTTTCTCAATACCAAGTACGCAAACTTCGGACTTGCCAAGTTCGACTCCGGAGAACGAACTCCCGAGGACGAGAGGACACAAGTCCGGTTCTTCTGCAAATGGAACAGAGCGTACTTGATCGCGTCACTCAGCACGCTCTGGCTACTCCCGGTTATCTTTTTATATATATTTTGGGCAACAATAAAAAGTAATATGCTACAACTCTGCCTCTTTTCATCAACAATAAAACGAAATATGTTATAAAACACCACTCTGCCTCTTTTCATTTAAAAAAAAAAATCAACATTAGGCTAATGGCCATGTGGGCAACGCGATTATCTTCACTGCATATTTTTATAACAAAATGAACATGATCTTTTTGTTTTCATTTTAAAAGTATGAAACATTGATTTTTATTGACATTTATCAAACAGAGACAGGGTTGTGTAAATTTATTTTATTGCTCATATAGTGAAGATAATGTAAAAAATGTTGTTAAAGTTAAACAGCCTAAATATAAAGTTATGAAACTTCAAAAAACGTTTTTTTTTTGTTTAATGAGACCAAAAATAGACTTATACACAAGACGAATACGTTAAGTTTATACACTACAAGACTTGAGAGATCAGAGCCAGCGGCAAACGTCAGAAGCACTAGCCGAGGATAAGCTGTTCCAGTCGGGGTTGATCTCGCTGAGTGTCTGCTGAAGGTTTGATGTCAGAACTACGAAAACGTAAAATGCATTTTTGAAATAGGCGCTATCTTTATGAATAAACTACAGATTTGAGATTTAAACAACCACATTCTCGCCTGAAACACTCTTAACATTACATTTCTTGACACAATAACAGTAGTATTTTGATATTTCGCGGATTTTCGCTGGTTGACGCGAAATGCATTCTGGGATACCTGGCTATCTCAAGTCCGCACAAGTCACCTCTCGATGCATCCTCGGTAAACGGGGCGGATCAAGAACACATCCCTTGTTTCCTGTCTGTCATTATTGGACAAATTGATTAATCCAGGTGTGCCTGACCTCAGTAGTCACGGCAACAATAATCAGACACACCTGAATTAATCAAGTTCGGCCAATAATGGCAGACAGGAAAACAAGGAGCTGGCTTAAGTTCAGGAAGTAGCGCAGCTGTGCATAAGGTCAATTCTGACTTTTTTCCTCCTCAAAATTGTCAGATGAAAAAAAAGTCTGAATATTTTTAATTGCGTGGCAGAAACTAAATTATATCATCTGTTCACCCCAATGTCTTTAAGTTTACTGTAAGATGCGCCACTTTAGCTGGAAAATATTTTAATGGTTTGAATATGTGCTGCCTTTTTATGGATTGACAGTATAGTATTAGTTTTAATGAGCAATTTGAGAATTATTACAATGCATAAGTATGTGTATTTTACGTAGATTATATATTCCATATATGTAGGCCAAACGTCATTTATATTGTGTTGAAATTCAAAAGCTGGTAAAAACTGGAATGGAAAAACCTAAATAAACTTGACTCCCAAAGTACACACTGTATTATCCAATGTTGGTTTGTGCATGTAATTTTCATGTAATATGAGCCCAGGTGTTTGTTTGTTTTGATTTTGTACATTAAAATTGTTGTTACAGACATGTGATGTGTATTGCTGTGCAAGTGTTTTTTAAAAAATTAAGTATTTAAAAAAAAAACTCTCTAGAATATGTAAAAATTTGTCTCTTGAAATGCTGTTAGTTTGCGTTGTCAATTCAGACCTTATCTGAATGATCCTCTCAGTTAACAGCTCAGCTTTAAAGAGGGAAAGAATTTCACTGGCGTCACTTACAGTAAAGGAGATCTGGGTTTGTGTAAACCCTCCACAGGGAGGAACCCACTAATATAAGGGTGAATCCTCGCCGGAGAGAGCACAACCTGGTACAAAAGGAAATTACTTCTGTAATATGAGTACAGAAGATTTTCGTGGAAAACACAGGGAAGATAAACCGAATCATATCCCTGTTATCTCAGGCATTCCTCAAGCAGAGCTGCTATAACATTCCCAGTGACGAAAACACAATTATTTCTCAACGCCTTGAAGACCTTGGACAGCCGGACAGAGTCACGTATTCCCGGTATTATGAGTAAACCGGTGGAGTGTGTTTATGTGCATGTGAGATGTGTAATGTGACCAAGGGGCGGCTTCAGTACAGGATAAAAAAGGGTGGGAGTTTTTCTGTCCTAACTTACTCTCTCACTTACACACACTGAGAGAGATCAGCTCTGAGAGAGATATTTTACCTTGGACAGCGAGTGACGGGGTAAGACAGCAGAGAACAACTCCGAACAAGCTGATTTAGAGTCGTCGCGGTCGGATAGACAGCATGTATTGGGACGTGGCCCTCTGGAGCGCCGGGATCTGGGCGATCCTGAGTTTAGCTGCTGGACAACTGACCGAGCAGGACAAATCAACCATCGTGGACATGCACAACAAGTATCGCTCTCAGGTTACGCCCAGCGCCGCCTTCATGCAGAAAGTGGTAAGAGATGCACCTGACTGGAGAAACACATGTACACAACATATTTCGCTTTGGTTCTAGTGGTAAAAACCTTCAGAGTTACTGAACAAAAAGTTCATACAAAAATGTCTTTACTTAAAAAAAAAAAAAAAAAAAAACTTACTTACCCCAAACTTTTCAATGGTAGTGTACAGGTTGACTTTCCCCAACCACATGTGTGTGATTTCTGAGTTTGATCTCAGACTGTTGATGTGTTGGTCTCTGGATGCTCTTATGAGGTCAAAGCATCTAATAATCTGCCATCAATCACTGGAATCATATCTTCAATGGTCTCATTACTGCTGTAAACAACAATTATCACATTAATATCCATGGAAATTGTGTCATGATGCTTATTCATTAGCACAAATAACTTCAAAACACAAGGGAGTCTAAGTAATGCAGTAATCATCATGATTGTGGTTTACCAAATGAAAACTGATCCTAAAAGTAATTTAGAATAAAGTCATTTAGTGTCAATGTTAGTATCTAAAATGTCCCTTTAAGAAGAAGCATTGCTGCTGTGTGAGACACACCTCAATTTGTGTCATGTGAACGCATGAGACCATACTATATTAATAAAGAGGGACTTTTTCCAAAGAAACCGATGATTCCAGTTGATTTAGACTGAATGGAGTGTGTGTGGGTATGTGGATGCATGCAATACCGTTGCACAACATCTGTGTGTGTGTGTGACATGCTGAGGAATGTGAATGTTATATGAGACCGCAGGAACACTATGCTGAGTGTGAGTGTTTTAATAAAGCCCCATGTGGTCATCCTGTCTTAATCGCTTGTATTTGTATTACGGGTGAAATTCAGAGCAGAAATATTGGGAGATTCAGTGGAAAACACTCGGTTTTGTGTGAAACATGTTTTGTTCACTTACATTTACACAACAATAGAGTGGATCGTACCAACAACAACATGCTGGGACAGATCTGAATGCAAAATGAAAAAATGTGAGGTCCAAAAGACAGGGCTTTAGACGACGAATAAGGGTCTTATCAAGCGAAACGATCGCTCATTTAATAAATAAATAAGAAAGTTTAAGTTTTATAAGCTCAAATGGTCGCCTTGCTCTGTTCTGTGATGCACATTCGTGACTCTCCTGTTCGAACTCGTTCATCAAAATGAACAAATCTTTTTTCGAGTCATTTCAAAACTAACAAACGTCAAAGTCAAATAACATTATTCTGTCGTTTAAGGTGTGGGACGAGACACTGCGTGTGGTGGCGGAAGCTTACGCAGTAAAATGCATCTGGGACCACAACCCTGACCTTCAGAAACTCTTTTTGGGTGAAAATCTCTTTATCACCACTGGAGCTTTTAATGCAACTGAAGCAACGGTTAGCTGGTATGAAAACTATCTTAACTAAAACATAAATTAGAGTGAATGAATGACTGCCAATGATCTGTGATATGTAGATATATTACCTATAAGCATTAATCATTTCTTTGCACCCCAGGTTTGAGGAAAATGTGGATTATAACTATGAAAACATGCTTTGTGCTGAAGAGAAAATGTGTGGCCATTACACTCAGGTAAGCACCGTTTCCATTCTGTGTTTGATTGGTTTTCACAGTATTACTATGCAGATGTGACGATGCGTTTCTGTTGTTTTTACAGATGGTGTGGGCAAACACCAATAGAATCGGCTGTGCTACTCACTTCTGTGACACCCTTGATGGACTAGGTTTCAGGAACACCACTATTCTCGTCTGCAATTACTATCCTCCGTAAGTGTGTTTCATTACAATATTTATTGTGGTATAAGTTACAACTTAAAATCATATGAGTTCATATAAAAATATTTCAGTCTAGAAGTCTATACCTCCAGCTAATACTAAAACACATCTTTATCTTATATATTATTTTTATCTATAAGTATTTATCTAGCTATCTTAAATAGTGGTTCGAAGGACTCGTGGACCATTTGTAAGTCACTTGAATAAAAGCATCTGCTAAATGATTACATGTAAATGTACATTTTCAAAGGCACCCAAAGATATTTCTGCTATACTATCAAAGCTGCTTGTTTTCAAACTTTTTTATTTTCGGAAACTAGAATTAACACTATAGTGAAATATAACATTTTATAAATCAATTTCAGAAGATTAAAGAACTGAACTTTCTTTAAATAATTTAGTTTTTTTTTTTCAGTAAAAATAATGCTCAGTATAACTTTTCTCATATAGTATATATAGGCTACTCTATGTGTGTATGTACATATACTGTGTATACTGTGTGTGTATATATATATATATATATATATATATATATAAAAGTCACTTGAATAAAAGAATCTGCTAAATGAATACATGTAAATGTACATTTTTAAAGGCACCCAAAGATATTTCTGCTGTACTATCAAAGCTGCTTGTTTTCAAACTTTTTTATTTTAGTGAAATATAGCATTTTATAAATCAATTTCAGAAGATTAAAGAACTGAACGTTCTTTAAATAATTTAGTTTTTTTCCCAGTAAAAATAATGCTCAGTATAACTTTTCTCATCTATCTATCTATCAATCTATCAATCTATCAATCTATCTATCTATCTATCTATCTATCTATCTATCTATCTATCTATCTATCTATCTATATATATATATATATATATATATATATATATATAGGCTACTCTATGTGTGTATGTACATATACTGTTTATACTGTATATATATATATATATATCCCACACACGTATTATACATTATATATAAATACTGTATTGTATAAATACATTTTTTGGATTGTATAAATATTTTTAACTCACAAATGTTAATTTCTTCTCAATAAAATATTTAAGACCTTGACACATCTATAAGTTTTAAAGATTGTATACATTTTCATAAACTTTCCAGTTCTAGAACCATATAGCTAAATATGACAGTTGTTGAGGGAATGAATTAAGAAATCCCGATCTTGATTTTTAGCTTTTTAAGCTTATATAAAGATATAAAGCCATTTATTAGAGGACCACTGATCTAAAATACCTTTCACATAATAAATTGAAATATCTATGAAAATCCTCTCAACTTAACTTTCTCACACACAGAGGAAATGTTGAAGGACATTTTCCTTACGTGTCTGGAGAGCCGTGCTCAAAGTGTCCAGAAAACCTGCCAGTGTGTGAGGAGGAAATCTGCGGTAATGTTAAAACTTTATCAGTGCAAGTCAACTTAAAGCTAACATGAACTAAAACAAGTTGAAAGCCCTTCAATCTCTCTTTTCCTCACAGTGCGTGAGAATCCCCTCGATCCATCCGATGAGCCGGCCGTCAATGAAGACCCGACTGTCTTACCGGAGCGCTCCCACTGGACCACGGAGCCCGTCGATGTTCCCCGAGAGCCCACCCGCATACCTGTTAAAGTAGATAAGACTGGCATGGAAAAAACAACCATGAGTCATGGATCCAAGATGGAAAGCATCACATCTCATCTACTGATGCTGCTCATCGTGCTGGCGCTTGTTTTGTGAGGGTCTGGAGTGGATGAGATCCTTCATAACCTGATAAGACACATACAAAATGCATAAGATGTGTGTTTGCACTGCAAAAAGGATTGTCTTCCTCAGTAATCCAGTTACAAATGTCTAAAGGTTCACATATCAAGATACATTTACTTGAAAAGCAAAATAATCTGTTCACCCGAGTGTCTTTAAGTTTACTGTGTCACTTTAGCTGGAAAATATTTTCTGGTTTAAATATGCGCTGCCTTTTTATAGATTTACAGTATTAGTTTTAATGAACAATTTGAGAATTATTACAATGCACAAGTGAATGCATGTATATAAATATATATTTATATGTAGGCTAAACGTCATTTATATTTTTGTTCAAATTCAAAAGCTGGTAAAAACTGGAATGGAAAAACCTAAATGAATGAATAAATGTTTAATTTTGTATACTCCATTTTTTAAAAATGATTTATCCTGTTGTGGTCATTTTCTTTAATATGTGGTCCAATGTCCACTGTTGTCCTTATTTAGGCTGTGATAACTTCTATGCGGTCACATGACCACTAAAGTTATTGATCATTTCCATCAATCATAATTCACAGATGATGATGTTCCATGTTGGACTCAACAGACATCACTAGATGGCAGTATAACTCAAAGGTGTTGACATCTCAATGTTTTAATGGATTGTAAGCGAATATTTTGCGTTTTCAAAGACCAATTATATTAAAAAAGGGAGTTTAGTCGCATTTAGTTCAAGTCTATGAGCTTTGGGGTCATTTATTTGGTAGAAAATCACATTTAGCCCAGATAAACCAATTTTATATGCACAACTCATGGAAAACACACCAAAATAGACCTAAATAGACTTTAGATTGTATAACATTATTTGTGCAATGCTTATATGCCTACTAGAGTCACGAGCATTAGTAAATAGCAACGTCTGTCATTATTGGCTTGAATTGAATGCACGGTAGGATACATAGGCTAACTTTACATACCCCAAAAACAAACACAGGTTCACTTTTTTCTTCCTCATCCTCCGGTTCTTGAAGGTCTGCAGTCCTCGGTGAAATTGGTGGTGGCAAATCCTGTTTTTGTCTATATGGCACAAGATGTCAAGCTAGGTCGACTGGGTTGTAAAGAAGGCCTTTGGCATTTTAATGTTTTATATTTTAAATCAATGACAAATAGGCCTATATCTCACAACATATTTGATAGGGGTTAAACCGTTTCACATTTCAGAAGCGGAAGTCGTTGTAGTTGGGTAAACTTTTAGCGCGAATGAGAGACTAGCTAGCTAGCTAACAGGCTAGCTATGCTGCGATGTTCCAATTTTCTAAAATGGCAAAAGAAAAACTCGACAATATGTTTTACAACTTTCAAAAAAAAAAAAAAATAGAGGGTTTGATCATCATGGCAGTCAGAGTGAATGATGTCAATTTAGCAGCGTTAACTAGTTTTTTGTAATTTTATGCAACGGCAGTATAATACTAAGTAGGCTACAGTGTTATAAATTAGCATTTTTTTTAAAAATGGATATAAAAAACCTTGCAGGATTTACGATCATGAGGTTAAACCATAGATATATGATGTTGTCATAGATACAGTCGGCAACGCGTCATAGTTGGGGGGCGTGGTCGGCGTGGGGGAAAGCAGCGCGACCATCCTATGTATTTGAATGACAAAAATGTCATATTGCGAGTCATTTATGCCTGCCGACCGGCAACGATACATTGCAAATTTAACTGTAATAGGTTATGATTGCCCTTATTTAATTAAAAACTGGGCCAATGACCCAACCAAATGGCCGGAGGTGTCGTTTCCAGACTATTATATCTGGTTGAATCTTCAGGTAAGACATCGCGGAAGCTACCGGCAACACAAGCCTGTAACTCAATCAACTTGCGTATAAGTTACTATAAGTCCATAAAACCATGTCACTTACCAATTGTACGTATGCTTCACTCCAAACTATTAATCCTTTTGTAAAACGGTGATCAAAGTAGTCGCTACGAAGTTGCAGAGGGACTTTGCTGACAGTTATCCGAATTCTCACAGACTGCAGTCTGATAACCTTCAGCTGATAACGCTAATAACATCCCTTATGAAAAACAACTAAAGGAATCTTGTAGTATTTTAGGACAAACTATTAACGTTAATCCTATAGGAATACTATAGTATTTTGGGACATAGCCTAGAAGTATAGGTATTAATGAACATCACAGAAGTATTATACACTACTATAGAATACTAATAGCCATAGGATTACTGTAGTTCTTTTTCGTAAGGGACGTAACGTCAGACAAATCTGGCCCACTGCCTAATACGAGTTAAACATCTACTACTACATCACACAGGGACCTCTACTCACACAGTAATCTAATAAGATATGATTAATTTTGCCATTTTGTCCTCCTATCCGGTTCTGCATGTATGTAAGAAAGGCTGTAGAACTTCAATTTGTAATTTGTTAGTTTATTGGTGGTACAGAAAACGACACCGCAACCCTTCGGCATGATTGTCCCATGTATTTCAATGAGCGCCAAGGCAATGATTTCCCCCACGGGCTAAATTCACACCACGTGACGGGGCGTTCCCGGGGGCGTTCCCAGACCAACCGACTGTAGGTGTGTTCGACATCGCCTGCGGCTGGATGCAACCGATCGGCGAGAACAGCCGCGTGCAGGCGGGGAGGAGCTGCAAACGGAGACGTGAAGTCGAACAATTTCTGGTTCCCGTAGTGACGGCTCACGTGGTGTTTGCATGCTTATACCACAGCTGAAGTGAAATAAATGCAACATTTGCCAAATAAACAGATATTTCAGACACATTTTCATTCAATACTTTACTGCTTCATACAGCATCTGTTTGAACTAGAATAAAGTTCAAAATAAGCCTATAATCAATGACGTGGAATCAACGTTTTTTAATCAGTTTTATTTTGATAAACATGATAAACATGACACAATATAACATTGCGACTACATGAAAAGAGTGTTTACTGTTATAAAATACTGATTTGTGAGCTTTAGTGGAACTAAACGTGTGAGAATAAACACGAAACGCACGTGATCGTTGTCATGCGGTGAATCCGGCGAATCGTGGAACAGCTGTGACATCATCAGAGCTCGTGCAGCCGCTCTTGAGAAGCTGCGCTGGCTGAGTCCTCCGGCTACTCTCGTATCGCTCTCGCGGTACTTTGATGGCATATGTCACAGTCACGTGGAGTCAGCGCTGCATCAAGTCGGACAAAATTTCTAACCGGCATGCACTGTTTCAAGTCAGCCGACGATCGGTCTGCGCAGAGCTGCATGAAGTCGAACAAGCCTTATATCTATCGCGTCTGTCTGTGAAAAGGGTCAACCGTGGCGTGGACTCGTGTGATTAGCGTCTCGTTTCCCCCTGCTGGCCAATGTTGTAACTACACCATTGCTTGTACAGCATGATTGGGTCTTAATTTGATGATAATATGTTCAATAAAACATATAGGCTGTGTACAGACACGATCAGTTTTAGAGACACAGAATAGCAAATAACGAATGCAAATTTGAAGACGTGTATCTGCTTTAACTTGTTTTAGATTAAATCAAGTGCCTTGTTATTTCTTTCTATTCAATCAACTTAATAGGGTCAAAACACTAGGATAAACACTCAAAGTGAAATCCAGCACTAGACATCGTTCCTCGTATCAACCTGATTAACATTTGTAAAGAACAAGCAAATGTCAAGATGTCAGTCAGATCGTGTCTGCGGCAAGTACTCGACAGGATTAGATCCATCTGATGGGATATTCAGCAAACAACACTTGAACTTTTTGATCGTTATGTCTGTGTTTATCCGTCCCGAGTGTGATTCTGTCGAAGGGTCACTCGAGTGAGTCAAAGCCACCTTGACTTTCTGACAAAACAAACCAGCTTAATGCTAAAGCAAACAGAGTTAATGTTTTGCCTTTACACACACTGCATAGTGTAGATAGATAGGATCTATCTATCCTTTAAAATTATTTTCAATATATTTATTTACAACTATATTTATCTAGAATTATTTCCTTATTTAAATAATTTATCTATCATTTTAATTTAAATAATTTCATTATTTTTATTTATGTTTATTTATTATTTTTATTATTATTTACTAATTTAAAATGATTTATCTAATATATGTATTGTTTATTTATTAGCTTATTTAAATATTTTTATTTATTTATTTATCTATTATTTAAAATGATTTATCTAAAATAATTTCTTTGTTTGTTTATTTATTTAAATTGTATTTATTATGAGACATTTTTGGTTTCTATAAATAATTTATCTAAATTGATTTATTTAAATTATTTCTTTTTTATTTTTCATTCATTTAAATAAAAATATGATGTAATTTAAAAATATTTATCTAAAATTCTTTGTTCGTTTGTAAAACTATTTATTCTCTACAATTTACTAAACTTTTAGTTTCAAAAGTTTTTAGTTTGTATGAATTTATCTCAGAGCTGAATTTTCTTCTGTCCTTCTTAGTATTTTCTCCTCATAAGTTTAAGAAAACTCACATGTTGGCACTCTTGGAGTTTCTCTCACACACTCAGGGCGTCAGACTGTATGATCCAGTGGTGTGTCCACGGGTCTAAAGGCCTGATGTTCAGATTCAGGGACCTCATCGGCCCGCTGCATGATTGCCTTCCACTGGCCAGAGAGCTTTAGCTCGTCCACATTTGTCATGACTAGCGTAAGCCAGACACAAACACCCACACATCTGAGCAACATTACATCGCTCTGATGCTGGATTATACGCTAGCAAATGAAGACGGAGAACTCTTCAAACCTGGAAATCAAGCAAGACAAAGTCAAAGCAAGCTGAAAGTGAAATATTCAGTTGAATGCTCCTTATGTCCAATGCTGTGATGATTCCTTGACATTTAAAGAAAAGATGATAAAATGGTCACTCTGTTTCCAGAGGTGAAATCTGTTCAAGAAATGTATCATATTATAATATATATGATATCATAATATCAGAGTCGTTCTCGTAATCTTGTCTCTAAAAATGACCATAAAGTTACAAATAAAATGTGTCCAACAGAGCAAATAAAGCAAATCCTTAAAATCTCAAGAACGTTTTACGTTGAATGACACCATTGCAAATCTGAGACAAAGCCCATCAGTTTTAAAGCTAATCTTTGAGAGCTTTAGTTCAGACTGTCATAAAGGTCCACAAAGCTAATAGCTTTCATTGAAGCTTTCAATGTGACACTATTATTCAAAACCTCGTTCAGCTCAAACCACGAGTCTTGCGTGACATTGAGAAGAGTTTTAATGGTTTTGTGTCCTCTAGTGACGCACAACAGACCCTGCGATGTGTTAATTAATGTTTTTTTTTTAACTCATTATCACCAAAGACAGGAAATAAACTTCAGTTGGGTTAGAAACAAAAAAACGTCAAACAGAGAACAAAGACATGAAGAGCATATGAAG